GTACCAAAAAAATGCAATGAACCACTTGAATCCATCAAATGATACCGTAAGTACAGACTTGTTGCAACTGGGGTTAGATGTATTTTGGGATGCTCCTATAGCTGCTGACGGATCGTCCATAAGTTTGTATTCGACGGTCGCTCATCTGGATTACGGACCAAATTATATTCGCAATCTTGGTGTAATGAATCCAACTAATGGAGACTCAGATGCTAATGTGATTAATGGTGGAGGATACGCTTTCCCGATGTATGGTACTGGAAATGTATTTTATACACAGGTAGGCTATAAATTTAAAGATAATTTATTAGGTTCAGCTACCTTGATGCCATATGTTACCTATCAACATGCGCAATATGAAAGGTTTTCTCAAGCAGTGAATTTTTATTCGCTCGGCATTAATTTTTTAATGAATCAGCATAAATCTAAATTGACGTTAGTATACGAAAACAGACCTGTATTTTTTGATAATCAGAACCCAGTTTTGAGAAAAGGGAGTAGTGTCCTTCAGTATCAGATTTACTTTTAAATAATAATGTAAATGAATAATGCAACACATATATTTAAGGAAGAGAATGTAATCCACCATTTGAAACATTATCTACCAGCTCAGGCTGCCTTAAAAGATTTTATCCACCATAATACACTTCATGCATTTCAAGATCGGAAGTTTTATGATGCGCTTACGGAGTCTAGTAAAATTTTTGGTTATAAGACTAGTTTGTCCGTCAAAGAATACAGGCAACTATTTCTTGATAAAAAAATAAGTGAAGACGTATTGGACAAAGTTCTAAATGATAAAAAAGGAACAGAAAATGTGTCTGCTTGGAAATATAAATTGCGAAGTATCGGTATGGTAGATAATTTTGCACCACTAGTATATGCTGTTGGACATGGCGCTAGTAGTGTTAATAATACACACTATGCTGGATACGATTGCGGTGCTTGTTCTGGTCGGCCAGGTTCGGTAAATGCTAGGGTTATCTCCTACATGGCAAATCATCCTGAGGTAAGGGCAATTCTTAAAGATAGAGGCATCGCTATACCTGCTTCAACTTTATTTATGGGAGCGCTTCATGATACAACTAGAGATGAAATCGAATTTTATGATGAAATGCTTACAGATGCTACAAAGAGTCAAATGCATCAGAAAAATAAAATAACATTTAAAAAGGCATTGACTAAAAATGCTAAAGAGAGATCTAGAAGGTTTGTTACTTTAAGTACAAAAATAGATATCCAAAAATTGCATGAAAAAGTAAAAACACGATCAGTATCTCTTTTTGAACCAAGACCAGAACTCAATCATGCAACAAATGCATTATGTATCGTAGGGAGTCGAAGATTGACAGAAGACCTATTCTTGGATAGACGTGCCTTTATGAATTCATATGATTACAAAATTGATCTAGAAGGCAATTATTTATTTAATATTCTAAAGGCAGCTGCACCTGTATGTGGTGGTATCAATCTAGAGTATTACTTTTCAAGAGTAGATAATCTAAAGCTAGGCGCAGGGACCAAATTGCCCCATAATGTCATGGGACTGATCGGTGTTGCTAATGGGATCGATGGCGATTTGCGTCCAGGACTACCTAATCAAATGGTAGAAGTACATGATCCATTAAGGTTATTGATGGTTGTGGAGCATCATCCAGATGTGGTGCTGAAAACCATCCAACGCACACCTGAGCTGTATGAATGGTTTATTAATGAATGGGTACATCTCGTGGTGATCGCTCCTGAAGATAAATCATTATGGCGTTTTTCGGAAGGTAGTTTTCATCCTTACAAACCTGTGACCCAAGCCATAGCGTCCGTAGATAATCTAGAAACCATATTTGAACATCAATCAGAAAACTTACCCGTTTATCTGTTAAAAAATTAAGTATTGTGGAACAAATATTAGAAATATTAATCATCTGGCCATTTCTGGCTTTCTTTATATCCTTATTTCTTCCAAAAGAAAACGAAAAAATCATTTCTGGTTTTACTTATGGCCTTGTGGGATTACACTTTATGGCTATAGTCGCGTTTATTATTTTTTGGATGACAAAAGGAATACCCGATATCAATATTAAGGAGATATCATTGTATCAAACATCACATTTGAATTTTTTTATTGACTTTTATTTTGATAATGTCACAGCGGTCTATTGTTTTGTAGGATCGATGCTTACGTTTCTGGTCGCTACATACAGTCGTATTTACCTACATCGGGAGTCAGGATACAAGCGTTTTTTCAATACTTTGCTCCTTTTTTATGCTGGATATACTTTGGCTGTTTTTTCTGGTAATATGGAGACACTATTTATTGGGTGGGAAATTTTAGGCCTGACATCTTTCTTATTAGTAGCATTCTACAGAGACAGATATTTGCCTGTAAAAAACGCATTTAAAGTCTTTTCAATTTATAGAATCGGAGATGTAGGTATTTTGTTGGCGATGTGGGCGAGTCATCATCTTTGGCATGAAAACATCACTTTTGCTAAGCTCAATAACTATGAGCTGGTCCACGAGCATTTAGTAGGGCATTCGCTATTTGGTGTATTTATTTCTATGATGATTTTGGTTGCTGCATGTGCAAAATCAGCGCAATTTCCTTTTTCATCATGGTTGCCACGAGCGATGGAAGGTCCTACACCATCGAGTGCGATATTTTATGGGTCGCTTTCTGTACATTTGGGTGTATTTTTGTTATTACGTACGATGCCATTTTGGGAGCAACAGATATTCGTGCGGGTTATGATAGGACTAGTAGGATTGGTGACTGCTGCCATTGGTGCATCCATAGGTAGGGTACAATCATCCGTCAAAAGTCAGATAGCATATGCATCCGTGGCCCAAATAGGGCTGATTTTTATAGAGTTAGCTTTAGGGTTGGAAAGTTTAGCTTTGGTGCATTTTGCTGGTAATGCATTTTTAAGGACGTATCAATTATTGGTATCTCCGTCGGCAGTCAGTTATTTGATTAGAGAGCAGTTTTATCATTTCGTACCTAAACATCAGAATATAGAAACGCACTTTTCCAAAAAATTGGAGTATTCCTTGTTTCTATTGAGTATAAAGGAATATAATATGGATGAGTTATTGGATAGATTTATATGGAATCCATTCAAAAAACTGGGAAATCTGCTTCGATTTATTAATATTAAAAACATTTATTTTATCACCATTCCGACTTTTTTGGTTGGTGTATTGATACAAGTAACGAGATATAATATTCCTGATTTTGTGGTGGAGATTATGCCTGAATTATTTGCTTTTATTGGCTTACTATTGGTCTTTAGGGCTTATGCAGGACGTAGAAATGTATTTGTCGTGTGGACATTGCTTATCATGAATCATTTCTGGACGGTACTTGCTATCTCATTTAATGACAATCTTACATTTGATGAAATAGTATTTTATTTAGTGGGTGTAGTCATAGCGGGTGCAATAGGGTATTTAATTTTGTATAAGATTACTCGATTAGAAAAAGGTGTAGATCTCAACAGATTTCAAGGACACGTGTATGAATACCCTAAGCTAGCAGCTGGTTTTCTGATTACTTGTTTAGGATTGGCTGGTTTTCCGATTACATCTACCTTCATAGGTGAAGATATTTTGTTTTCGCACATTCGATATGACCAGATATTTCTAGCATTTTTTGTATCATCAGGATTTGTGATCAGTGGTATTGCATTGATCAGAATGTATGCAAGGATATTTTTAGGCCCACATGTGAAGAGATATCATGAGGTTGCGCAGCGGTCAGCATAATGATTGTAAAGAAGCAATTATCCACGAATATTGCTAATTTAAGATAAAGAATGTCCTACCTTTGCTCTATCTAAAGAATATATCACAAAGATGAGCAGAAGTAATTTATTTATCGCACTCGAAGGCATAGATGGCAGTGGTAAAAGCACACAGTCTAAACGACTCGCTGAGACTTTGACTGAGATGGGGCATAAAGTCTATACAACTTTTGAACCTACAGATAGTCGTATAGGTGTGATGATAAGGGATATTTTTAGCCATAGGATGGAAGGAGATCATAGGGTTATTGCGGCGCTTTTTGTGGCTGATAGACTCAATCACTTGCTTAATAGTCAAGATGGGATTCTCAAAAAGCTTGATGAAGGATACACTGTCATTACGGATAGATATTATTTTTCTTCTTATGCATATCACAGTGCACACATGGATATGGATTGGGTGATCAAAGCAAATGCACTTAGTGCTGAATTGTTAAGACCTGACTTAAATATTTATATCGATATTTCACCTGAAGTCAGTATGGAACGAATCAATAAAGGACGAACTTCTGTAGAAATGTATGAAACATTAGAAAATCTTACCATTGTCAGTCAGAAGTATCAGCAAGCATTTGAACTCTTGTCAGATGTAGAGAAAATAGTAAAAATAGATGGGAACAGACATGCAGATGTCATAGCAGAAGATATCAAGCAGCAAGTAATGTCGTTAATGCAAAAATAATGGTGACTAGCTAAGACTTTTGATCTCTTGTACTAATTTGTTGAGACAATCTTTGGCATCACCAAAAAGCATGGAAGTTTTTGGTTGGAAAAACAGACCGTTTTCTATGCCTGCATATCCAGGTTTCATACTACGTTTATTTACAATCACATGAGCTGCATCTTCTACATCTAATATAGGCATACCATAGATAGGGGAAGATGGATCCGTTTTGGCAGCAGGATTCACCACATCATTAGCACCGAGTACTAAAACAACATCAGTTTGTGCAAATTCAGGATTGATCTCATCCATCTCCAAAAGCTTCTCATAAGATACATCCGCTTCAGCTAATAGTACATTCATATGGCCCGGCATACGTCCCGCAACTGGATGTATCGCATATTTTACGTCAACTCCGTTTTGTTCTAATACTTTTTCTAATTCATGACACGTATGTTGCGCTTGAGCCACAGCCAAACCATATCCTGGTACTATAATGACTTTTTTTGAATACATCATGAGTACTGCGGTATCTGTTACCGAAATTTCTTTGTAAGTTCCACCAACATCCCCAGAAGATCCACCAGCTTTTGAGCCTCCAAAAGACCCAACAATTACATTTGTTAGTGATCTATTCATCGCATTGCACATCAAAACTGTCAAAACTGTCCCTGCGCTACCAACTAAGATACCACCTGTAAGCATGACAGAATTATCATATAAAAATCCTCCAAATGCAGCTGCCACACCCGTAAACGAATTGAGCAATGAAATAACTACAGGCATATCTGCACCACCGATGGGCATAACAAAAAGTATTCCATATAAGGCAGAGATGATTAATAAAACATACATCATAGTCATCGAGTCAGCTGTGATGAATCCAGTGACCATTCCGATTAGCACCACCACAATAAGCACTAATAAACCGATATTGACGACTTGCTGTAATGGCAAGGTTTTATCATTAATATTGCCATTTAATTTACCAAAGGCGATCATACTTCCCGTAAAAGATACTGTACCGATGACTAAACCCAACAAAATGGTAGTGGTCATTACTGGTTCATTGGTGATATCTGCACCTGTATGTAACATGTGTTTAAACTCAACAATCGAAATTATTGCTGCACAAGCTCCTCCCATTCCATTAAATAGACTCACCATTTGTGGCATGGCGGTCATTTGTACCTTTTTTGCAGCCATAGTACCCACCACAGATCCAATGATCAACGCACCGAATATCCATAAATGATTACCTAATCCCACTCCGTCTTTAGTGTATAAAAATATAGTTGCAAAAATGGCTAACGTCATCCCGATAGCAGCATACAGATTACCCTTTCTAGCGGTATCAGGATGGGACAACATCTTTAGACCTATGATAAACGATACACTTCCTATTAGATAGCTTAGAGATAAAAGTCCGCTGTTCATATATTTATTTGAGATTCGATACTTAAATGAGGGATTATATTAATTCTTTTTGCGCTTTTTAAACATCTCTAGCATTCGGTCTGTCACTACAAAACCACCTACAACATTTAAAGTACCTAGGATAACAGCCAAAAAGCCTAAGATTAATGCCAAATAATTATCACTCTCGGCTTGGCCCATAACTATGATGGCACCAATGATGACGACACCATGTATAGCATTGGCTCCACTCATCAGAGGTGTGTGCAAAACGGCTGGAACTCTGGAAATTACTTCAAAACCTAAAATTATCATCAGGATTAATAGAAAAATAAAATAGAAATGCTCTGTTAACAAATTTAATAATTGTTCCATATTAGTTGGCTTTAGAGATAAGTGCAGATTTAATGATTTCATTCTCTTCGTTGAGTGTAACTATTCCGTCTTTCACTACTATTTGAAGAAAATTTATGACATTATTTGAGAAGAGTGTACTTGAGACACCATTTAGTTCATCCGCTAAATCAGAATTTCCTATGATAATGACACCATTTTTTACTACCGTTTTATTATTTTCTGTATAAGCACAGTTTCCACCTGTTGAAGCAGCAAGGTCTACAATTACTGAACCCGGTTTCATATTATTTATGGTATCTTCCGTGATCAAAAGTGGCGCTTTCCGGCCTCTTACCTGCGCTGTTGCAATGACAATATTTGATTTTAATGCACGTTCTTGAACAAGACTTCTCTGTTTTTGCAAGTATTCATCGGATTGCTGGACGGCATATCCACCTGCACCACGATCATCAGCCGCACCTTCTACTTCAACAAAAGTTGCACCTAAGCTCATGACTTCTTCCTTTGCAGCTGCTCTTGTATCAAAAGCTTCCACTACAGCACCAAGTCTCTTTGCAGTAGCAATGGCCTGAAGACCAGCCACGCCTGCACCGAGTACCATTACCTTTGTGGGAGGAATGGTCCCTGCGGCAGTCATCATCATTGGAAACATATTGTTATAATGATCTGCTGCTTTTAGTACGGCTTTATAACCAGATAATGACGCCATAGAAGACAATACGTCCATAGACTGAGCCAATGTAGTCCTCGGTATCATGTCCATACTAACCACATTTATGGGGTATTTTGCAAGATTTTCTATGACATCTGCATACTGATAAGGAGCAAACATAGAAATATATGTGGCACCATTTTTTATCATTTTGAGTTCTTCATCCTGAATCGGCGCTATACTTACTAGTAAATCAGCTTTCGAAAAAAGTGCATCTCTTGAGACCGCTTCAATACCTTGTGCAGCATATGTTGCGTCATTAAAACCAGATTTATCACCTGCTCCTGATTCTACTATGATTTCTACACCTAAAGCCTTTAATTTTTTGGAAGCAGCAGGGACTATGGATACCCTGTTATAAGAATGCTCTTTGAGAATACCTAACACCATTTGTTATACTAATATTATTGGCACGAAGATAGTAAAATTAGCATTATATAAAATAATATCTTGCAATAAAATCAGATAGAATGACAAAAATCAGTTTTTGATCAGTTGTCTAAATGGATCTTCTGATGTATCAAATTTGTACAATTGATATTTTTCTATTTTAGTTATTAGTTTTTGTGAATAATTTTCATCCGTAGCATATCCGCAATGCTTGAGACCATTTGCCCAAGATGTATAGTCGGTTTTGTCATATTGGAAAAGAGGACTATATCTTTCTGTTTGCGAAAGGAAGTTTGACCTATCTATGTATGAATCAATATCTGAGTCATAAGCTCTAAAACATGATTCTATCAATTGTCCCTTTTTATTAAAATCATCATCTTTGTGGTAATAAGTTTTGCCTGTCCAATAGTTTTTACATTTTATTCCAAAATGATTGTTAGCCTCAGTTGCTAATTTACTCATTCCATAATGAGATTCATGAAGTCCTTGAGCCAGAGTAATGCTTGCAGGTATTCCTGTTCTATACATTTCTACTACGGCTAACTCTTTATACTGCTCTATATATGCTGACGTGGCAATCTCTGGATTAAAATCAAAAGATACTAAACCCATGCTCACCGCAAACACTAATACTCTCCCTAATGACATATTACATTAAATTATAATAAGTATGTTTCAAATGTCATGCCAAAAACCTTTCTGTAGATTTATTAGGGACAAGAAATTAATTTTAATACATTCAAAAACCCATAATCATCCACAGTAACTCTGTGACAAAAACCTTGGTCATCTTTCAGTACTATTCCTTTTGTAGGTGTTTCTATGACGATATCACCTGTCACTACTTTGACGCCATTTATTGGTTGGTTACAATTGGTAGATTGTGTAAAAAGTACACCTGAAGCACTAATTTTTATTTTCATACAATTGCCATCAGTTCTTTTTAATATTATACCATTGTTTGTATTATTGAATGCAAAATCTGATTTTTCAATGTTTGTTTGTGGATCA